GAATAGTCCGAATTTACATGTTATACGTGATCGTACTGGTCCTGCGCGGCGTCACGCGTCGCGCAGCTACCCTAATTAGTAAGTAAAGTGCAAATATTAAAAGAAATTTTAATGGGCTATCAAGTTAAAAATTCAGTACAAATATTAAGCCAAATAAATACAGAAGCAAGAAAAGCGGCAAAAGAAATATCAAAAGTATTTAAAAGTGAGAATGAAGAGTTATGTAAACAAAAAATAAAGCTTGAAGCAATTTTAGCAAGGAAATTAAAGCCAAAAATAGATTTAGAAGATGCAAAAGAAATAATAAAACTATTAAAAGAAAATATGGCAATATGAAAAGAAGAATTCGATAAGGACAAGGCACAAGAAATAAATTTTAACAAATATAATAATCATAAATCTGAAATAATCGAAATATTAACTAATTATGAATTGTTAAGAAAAAGTGAGTTGGGTGATGCAATAAAACAATATCTAATAGAACAATTGGAAAAGCGTATAACAAATTCTGTTCTATCTAAAATAAAAACTCAAGCATTAGGATATTTAACGAGTGTAATGTCAGATAAAATAATTGATTATCTAAATGATAAAGTAAAAAAAGAATGGAAGAAAATAAAAGAAGAAAGAGCACAAACATTAAAAAATAAACAAAATATAATCCCAATAGAAGTAATAAAAGATTCTCAAAAAGAAATAACTGAACCATCCAAATCAGACATAACAAAAACAATAAAAGATAATTTAAAAAAAGATAACTAGTTATTTTAATAAATCAATATGCAAAAAGACAAGGTTCAGTAAGCATTTGGATTAGACAAATCAACAGGAGAATAAATATTTGGTGAGATTAGGCTGGTGTCAAATAAACATTCTCTACGACAAAAAAGTAACAGGTTAACTATCAAACATGTGAATTATATATTTTTCGATCTATGCACTGTCATCTCAAGAAAATGAATAACTTGATTTTCGAAGAGATGAATTTTTGCAAGATCATATGACCATATCCGCTACACGAATTAATGATTGTCACCCAGTAGTTGTGCAGAACATATTGGTTGCTGAACTTTCTATTAGAATTAATCTTATACAACCTTACACTTTTTATATAATTATTTAGTATTTTCTCTATTTGTTTCTGGTATTTATATTTCAAATCATAGAATTAGTATTAGCAAGTGGATTAGAAGTTAGTAGCGAAAATTTACAAGGTTAAAATGCATAAATAGCCCCGATATCTCGTTATGAATCGATGTACTTTTCACTTATTAACAAACTAATAAAGTAATCGTGTCTTCACAAATTATTCATTTGTTAGACGTTTATTTTTATATATTTGATCGTTTGCTTTTTCGCAGTTGCAAATCGCACTAACCCTATAAAAAATTGCAAATCGCACTAACCTTATAAAAAATTAATGGAAACCACCCCGATTATGTTCCGAATAAGGATGGCACCGAAAGTGAGTACTTTCGGTACCTACTGAAATCGAAAGTCTACAGAAAGTACTTTCGGACAGGATTTTGTTTACTAAAAATGTCCGAAAGTCGAAAGTCTTACCGAAAGTCAGAAGTCTTACCAAAAAGTCAAAGTCTTACCGAAAGTCAAAAATCTTACCGAAATCGAAACCCTTATTGAAAGTCGAAAGTATTACGAAAGTCAAAAGTCCTACCGAAAGCCGAAACCCTTATCAAAAGTCGAAAGTTTTACCGAAAGTCAAACCCTATTTTCACTCAAGTAAAGTCACTTTCGAATATATCACATAACGCAGACTTCAACAAAGGCCAATCAGATTTTGACGCAGATATACGTACAGTACCAGTCACCCGTTTTGCTACGCAGATCACAGGGACAAATTTTTTACTATATACTGTACTATGAAATTTGAATGATCGATATGCATATAATGGGCCTATTTTTCATAGTAAATTGCTACGGTAGGTCTTTTTAAAATGCCGATTTCAGGGGTTTCTTAAAAGAAAATTGCATCTATGAAACAAGGTATAGCAGTTTATCAACACAGAGTTTTCTTATTTTTAGATTTAAAGTGGGATAAGTAATAATCTTGAAAAGAATGCGGCTCTTAAAGTTGATATTTTGTTTTATTTATATACGTAAAATTTTTTATATTTATACATACCATATTGTCGCGAAATAACGTGCAGGGGTGAAATTACGAATTTCGGCCTAAATTAAGCTTAATTCTGGCCATTATTCTAAATAACGCCCATGCCTGTTATTTCGCGACAATACGGTATAAACTGATCACTATTTTGCTTCTAAAAATTTACCAAGCTTATTTGAAAAATTATAAAACTACCAGAACTATTAAAAAAGGTTGCAGTTACAACTACAAGGTACTAGTTTTGATTTAAAGTAAAACTTGTTAGGCTTAAAAATTTGATTATAAAAAAATATTATCTAGTTAAATTAGAATTATTATTAACAAGTTAAATTTTTAAATCAAGTATATTGAAGACGGTTTATTACAAATTTAATAGGTTGGTTTAATGACTGCCAGAGTTATTCTTATGCGATTTTATTATATGCAAGTTATAAAATGATTGGTGCTAAGATTAAGAATAAAATATAGTTGCAAAATCACAAAAAAACGGTATATTTATTAAAAAAATATTTATTATTTTAAATAAAGAATTTTGCAATTCTTAAATAAAAATTTATTTGAATAATTTAAATATATCAATTAATAAATAATTAACATATAGACTTGTGTAAAAAAAGAAACGAATTTGACAAAAAAAATTATATTTACACAAGAAAGAAATAATTCGCATCATAATGTTCAAAATAAAGAGAATAGACTTGATCAAATCGTTCAAACTAATACAGCTAATTCTAACGAAGCAAATCTTGAAGATACTGTATCGAATATTGAATTTAATAATATGGAAAATAATGATAATTTGGAAGAACGATTTGAAGAAAATTTAATGCAAACGATTGATAACATTGATAATTTTAATACTAATGACCAAATTATATATAATGAAGCCCTAATTGAATCTTCTATTCAAGCTTCGCATAGTATTCAAGGAAAAACTTTAGAGGACTGGTTAGTTTAGAAAACCTCGACAATTTAATTATTAAATTAATCATTAATTCTATGCAATAAATTGAAATTTGCTGCTAAAAATTTCAATTTATTTTTTTTTTAAAAAATAAATATTATACTTGAAGCCTTTTTTTATCTTAGCATATTAATTTTACCATAATTTGTAAGAATATGTTAAAATATCTTAGAATATATAAAATTTTGTTCATCTCTAGTCTACTAATGCATTATCTCTTCTTGTTCTAAGGTGTTACAAGGGTGTAAAGTGTATTTAAAGAAACCTGCACTTTTCGAATCCAAGATTATTGTCAATAAATTTCAGAAAGTTATTACAAGTGCATTTGCTGATTTTTTTGCTGATTCAAGGTTAATATTGTGAAGACTTAAAAAAACTGGTTCCAAGGCCAAGGTTGTTTTCAAGAAGACTCAAAAAAAAAATGTGGTGTTTCCTATAGAATTCTTTACAAATTGCATCTACCTCTCTGATCCAAAGTCATCTCCGGGAAGGTTACTTGGCCAAAAAACTGTTGATCAATATTAATTTTCAACCACAATTACATAAAGTGATTGTTCTAAAATCATCTCAAAAAAGATAGCAAAACTTCTCGAAAACATCGTATGATGTTGCTGAAAGATGTATTTTACACTATCAAATATCATAATATAAAAATATTGACTATCAAAAAAAAATAATAAGAAAAGTTTGCGTGAAGGTTGCTGTTTAACAAGAATTTTGAGGTAGTCCAACAGCTGCTCTCTATTTTTGTCAACCAAGCCCGACATATACTTTCTTTCTTTATTTCCAATATGGTGTAAACATATTTAGAAACAAAAGCATTGTCTGCAGCATCACCAGCATTAAAAACACATATACCTGGCAGGTACCTATGTCTACTAAAGTTACATATTTCTATACAGAGCTTGATAACTTCATCAGCCTGCTTTGACCGATTTGGGAAGCTTTGATGTCTTGGCAAACTGAAGGAGATTACCTACTGTCGCTTCTTTAAAGCTTACACCTTTGTAAGCTTCTGAGCGTGTAATTGAATCTACAAAATATAAAGAATGTTAAAAATGAGAATGAACAAGTATTAATCATGTGAATCAATAAATTAATCTTATGGGGTATTTCTCTCCATTCCACATGCTTGGCTGACGAAGCATCACCTGTATCTGCTACCGCTCTTTTCTTTTTCAATAAGGCTGGGGTGGTGATATCAGTTTCTTTTTCTCTTTTTCATGCTGGTAAACGATTAGTCACCTCTTCTAACACATTTTTGGCTTGCAACATGTCTTATATTGATCTTTTAAAAAAAAACTTGTGTGTGAGAAATACTATATCTCAGGTAGTAAAATTTAAGATTATATCATTGGTTTCAACCAGTTCTTAATTACTTTCTTCCAAACATTTAAATTTGAAAAGGGGACCAGCAAAATTGGTTTCGAAAAATTGTCTATTTCCTCAACTTTTACCTAACCAGAATATCGGTTCTATGCCTGAACTACAAATAAAATAGAAATAAACTAACCTCCTTCGTACTCAAAAAGTTTTCTGGCCTTATTGTAAGCTTTCGGTACTTTTGGATCATATGGGATGGCCTCTATTTCATTGTAAAGGTCTATCCAAGAACAGAAAACACAAGGAAGTTCAAGGTATTTAGAAATAATAACGGAGATGGAGGTATTGTGTATGATTGCGAAAAATGTACAAAAAATTTTAATAAATAGATAAATAAGTTAAGTACGGTTTTGGATAAAAATTGGAAATGCGCAAAGATACTGTAGGTAATTAGATCAATCTTGTTTTGATCAATTTTACTTAATTCGATTGTTTTGATTTTCACATTACACTTGACCAATCAATCTAATTAACAGAATTAGATAAAAATCATGTTCCGGAAAATCAGATGGGCCGATTTTTTAGGTGAGACCAGCATGGTGGACTGGTGGACAAGTTCAAATTTGGTAATGATCATCATAATTGAATAAATTTTTTTTTGACATTTATATATGTTAAAGTACTTTTTATTCTGGTGATTTTTCAAAAACTTACCAATTAAATATGTTTAAAAGAAAAGTAATAGAAAGATCTTTCAAATACTTATATACTATTAAAATTAATCCAAAATAATTCTAGTATTTAAAAAGTTTTATTAGAGACAAAGTTTATAAGAGATTTAGGATAGTTGAACCTGTAATTCAGCACATGCAGGTATTTTGGCGTTAAAATAAGTAAGAACGGCATGTAACTAAGATCTGGTATTTTATATAATACACAAAACAATTTCAAATAATGTTTATACAAAAAACTGAGTAAGAGTAAGTTAACTACGTTTTATATTCTTTAAAATACAAAAAATTATGTTATAATGAATTATCGTCTTTATTAAGTTATATTTTACTAAATTTTAACTATTGTAATTCTAAGGTACAATATAAACCGATTTGAAAGAAAAAGTCTTATTACTGTATTAGTTAGATTAAGTAGAGATAATATAAATTTGTAAAGAAAATAGAATTTTTAATAAAATAAATATAAACAAAATTAGAAATTAGATTATTGGTGATATTTCATGAATCCATAGTTTGAATTTGACAATTTTTATAACATTTGATTCATCTCAATAAGATGAATTGAATGATATAAAAATTATTGAATTCTAGTTACTAGATCACAAGATATCTTCAATCCTGTAAAATAAAAATTTTAAAGATTATTATTGATTAGAAGATAATCAATCATTTAATTTTATGTGATTGATGATCCTAGATTTTTATTAGACAACTTGGCTCTGAGTCACAATATTCAAATCTAGAAAGTTTGTATAACAAAAGTTGTCATCCAAGTGATTTACTTATTTGTATAAGTAATACAAATTAAAAAAGAAATCAAAATTTTATAAAAAACCAAGTGTTTAAAAATAGAAGTTTAGAATTAAGATTTTAGGGTTGTGAGCTTTAGTGATAAGTTAGAGTTTTTTATATATAAAATTTTATTTCTGTTATTTTTTATTAGTCAATCAAGATCAATTTAAATACTAGTTTTTGAGTATTTTTACTTTTTTTCTTTTTTTCTTCTTTTGCATGTATTTGGATTCTATATTGAGCTAATTCAAAATGCCTAAAATTTGTATTCTCTGATTGGCTATTTTTTTTAAAGATTTGTATTACTCACACAAATAAGTACAATACACACTCTTAAATCCAATAGGCATGGTGAATAGCTTTTGTATCAGTTTTAAGAGACTACCGGATTTAAGATACCAATGGTTTACTAGTTATATGATTATAAATAAATATAATTGGCTAGGTTATATTTATTATATCTACTTGGTTATACAAAGCTCGATCTGAGCTAATCAAATTGATTTATAATATCTGACAAACCTAAAATTTTATAGGCATCTGATCTTTTGAGAATTAGTTATCAGAAATGGCAAGTTATCAAGTTTAAATTATGGAACAGACATGGTAGATTAATGTTTTATTGGGTATAACAGATTTAGTTTTGACAGGATTAGTTTTGGGAGAGTATACTGTAGATGCATTCATCATGCTAGTAAGATCTCAAGATAGGATTATCTCAAATAAAAAAATGATAATTCTGATCATATATATATTAGATTCAACTAATTAAAATTGTGAATTGTAACTATAAGTAATAAGAC